TGTATCCTTTTTTATTTTATTTATTTATTTTTTATTGTATTTTAGGACAGGTACTACAGAGTCTACATGGCCTCACCACGTAGATCGAACTCATAGTGAGTCTCCTGTTTTCAGCCTCTCAAGTGCTGGGATTACAGGCGTGCGCCACCACGCCCAGTCTCAATTGCATGTCCTATGGGCGGGGCTGGCATGGCATGCCGGGCATCGAACCCCGGCCACTGCATCTGCCTAAGCAGTTTATCCTTTTTCACAAGGGCCTTTATTTCGGTCAGCAGAGAGTGGCCCTTATGACATAATTACCGCTCAAAGGCCCAACATCTTAACCTTGTCATATTGGTCATTTAATTTCAACTCTTGGATTTGGAAGGGACACATTTCAAAGTGAAGGCTTTCATTTCTTTTGCTGTTGTGTTTTCTTCATAAACTGATAAGGCACTAAATGTATGATTCATAAGATGAGAATATAAAGTATGAAAGAGGAAGACACGAAGCCCAGGAAATAACAAATCAATTGAGGAAAAGAACCAAGGAAATGAACCCAAGGAAAGAACCATGGAAGAAACTCCAAGGATGAAAACGGGAGGAAGGGCTGGGGGCTTAGCTCACTAGCAGAATGAATATTTCAGATATCCAGGGCCCCAGATTCCAACTCCACCACCTCCTTTGCTCAAGCCAAAAAGAATGCAAGGATGTCTCAGGATGATGTTCTGCTAGCAGGCCTAGAGTACAGTCAGTCTTGAGGAAAGAAGAATGACATTCCTTTGGAGAAATGTTCCCAAGAAAAGACAGAACTCATAGATTAATTGTTGCCGCTGAAATGGAACACAGAGGCATTTGAGAGGTACAGGAAGAACCGGCAATGGGTACAAGGAGAATTACACAAAGGAAACAAGAAAGGCAGTAAAAGATGAGAGAAGAAATGAGATCAGCTGGAGCATATTAATATAAACAATGGGTGATGATTAACTAAAAATCATAATGATATTGAGAGAGTAGAGAAAAAGTAGAAGGGATAATTGTGCATGGCAGCAATATTCTCATCTAGTAAAAATAGATGATGCTGGGCTGGGGAGATGGCTCAGTGGAATAAGTGCTTCCCTGGCAAGCACAACGGTCTGAGTTCAATCCCCAGTTCTGCGAAAAAAAAAAAAAAAAAAGATGATGCAAAATTGAATAATATATATGTATTATTTAGAAATATAAATACTTGTGAATTCCATAAGAGATAGCTAAAATTATTGCAGGTTCTTGTCTTTGGAGCTTGGCTTGTTTTAAGCTTTTCAATTATATTTTAAATCACCTACATGTATTATTTTGACCAGAAATTAACTTTCAAATGCTTCTGCGTTTTGCAATGCACCAAAGTAAACAAAGAAAATCAGATTAAACAAAGAAAACAGGAGAGAAGTTAAGTGTCATTAAAGAAAATCAAGGAAACAAGGTGATTTAGACTGGTAGGAGCTGCAGTCTCCAGTGGATCTTGCTGATATGCTGAAATCATGTCACTTTAGTCAGATAATTCCTTCTGTTTTGCTCTGTAAACTAGGAAATTATGGGCTATGGATTCTATATCCTGATATCTTTTGGATAACCAAGAAGGAAGGTCATTTCATTTTTGTGTATTTATTACTATGCTTTAAGATACCATGTTTTGTTAGAGTAGTTTAATTTAATAATCCTAGTTTGTTTCAAAATTAACTTAGAACTTATGTAACATTTTGGATAACTATATACAAAATATTGAGTTTAATGAGCTAAAACATTGTAGGACTTGTTCATATACTAATAATTTATGTTCTCTCTACTTAAAAAATAGAAGGTTAATGCAGCATCAATATCTTGTACCAATTACTCCAGGCCATTGCAATATTACTGAGAAGTTCTTAATTAATTTTAAACAATAAAACTGTCTTGATGTTTGCTCCCTTGATAACATCTGGCTTTTTACTACTAACTTTGCATTTATATACGATGCTTCACTGGAGTATATTAAATCTCAGGCCTGGAACTTTTTGTAGGATGTGATATGATCTCTATTTTGCAGGTGGCAAAACTAGAGGCTCATGTGGCCATATCATTATTCCTACAGATGAAGCAAGTTAGAGACAGCTAAGAATAGTACAGAGCGCATTAAAGCCCCGTCCTTCTGCTTGCACCCTCCAAAGCACTGATGATCATTATTGTCTATCATTATGACTATTTTTTGAATACCCACTTGTCACATGTTATTAAACTGTATTAATAGATTAAAATTCTGATTGCCTGGCAGCTGCTTTTCTGTTATTTTCCAAATTTTATTTTGCCTCCTGATTTGCCCTATTTTGTAGCAGAAACATTTGGTTTAGAGTAAATGTTAAGAAACTCTGAAAGGACAGCCAAGACTGAGACGGCTCCGCGGAGAGTCTGTCCTATGCCTCATGTCTTCCTTGCTAACTCCACACTGAGCTTACCCTCGGTTTAATGTAAGAGCCACCACCATCAGGTCACTTTCACCCATTGCTCATCGGTCTGAGCAACACTGATTGACACATCCAAGCAACGATGTAAAATATTGACAGGACCCACTCATTTACAATGGAAATGCTACTGCACTTAGTACTCACTATTATAATGGAGTGTAAAGAATTCAGAACATGGTCTCTGCTCTCTAAACCACTTCAGGAAGAGAAAAACCCATGAGAGAATGCAGTAAATGTTCAAGTGCTGGCAAAAAGTGCAGAAAGAACATGATAGTCACATTTCAGTGTGAAAGCATTCTCCACAGTGAATTTGTTGATGATGGGAAGGACATTTTTAAATTAAAAAAAAGTTCTTTTCCCATAAAAATGGCTATTTTTTCATATAGTCCTACCACATAGGCCTTGGAGGAGCTTAGACTAGCTATATAACACCCCTGTAATTTAACAGGAAAAATCTGAGGCCCAGAAAATTAAATACCTTGTTCTAAGCGCAAGAACTCATGATATTTTAAAATGCTTAATCCATGCCCAAGATGTAGGAAGTGGAAGGCAATACCTTTAATGTCTTTTTCAGTCTGAGGAGATAGCTTGCGTCCAAGCACCTGCCTGGCAAGCGCAAGGATCCTATGTCAGTCCCCAGTACTGCATGCTGTGCTGGCCACCAAAGCTGGGTATGACGGTGCATGCCTGTAGTCCCAGCACTGGGAAAGCTGAGATAGGAGGACCACTATGAATACAAGCTGCATAGTGAGACCCTGTACCAAATAAATAAATAAATAAGTTTACTGTTTTTTCCTGTGATTCAAATAATTCATTGAATACTAGATTGAAAAGACAAATATTTCCATGGTTTTGATTTTGAATTTTTTCCTTGTTGGTTATTGGGAACCAGTAGAAAACAATTGCACACTTCTCATCCAGAGAAGCCCCTGTCTCATTCTATTTAAGAGTATCATATTCTACCACCTGAACTAGCTGGGCTATACACTTTCTCCTTAAAATGCATGGAGGTGAGGTGTTGGAGAGGATTTATATGAACATCTATCTCCAATTTCTTTCTTTCTTTTTCTTCTTTCTTTCTTTCTTTCTTTCTTTCTTTCTTTCTTTCTTTCTTTCTTTCTCTTTTTTTATTTTCTTGGCAGAACAGGAATTGAACTCAGGCCCTTGCACTTGCCAGGGGAGCGCTTATTCTACC